ATGTATTTCAGTATTTGTATTTTTAATAACACTACTTATTTTTATTATCTTTGATTTTAAATAGAAATGGAAAATTGTATGTTTAGATGTACCAACACATTGCCCCATTTCTTTGCTTTTCAGTCTTTCTTCAAGTTCAGACATTCCTTCTGTCATGATTTTTTTCTTTTCTTCAAATAAATATTTATAAATGTCTTTAGAATGTAGGAATAGTAATGATAAACTCGTTTTTCATTTAATATTTTAAACATTCTCGGAAGATAATTTAATTAACATAAATTAATAGAAGCGATCATTGAGAAGTCTGTAAATACTACTACTGTTAATATCTTTTCTTCTTTAGTTTTAGTTGTATGATGTGTCCTGATATAGATTCTGTGTTAGATATACTGCTTAAACTACATTCTGCTTTCTATATCTATGGATTTATCTGTTCTTGAAACTATATGCTCACCATGCTCTCAAATGGTGCCTATTTCCCTTCCTTTTTATTCTCAAGAACTTGGATACCAGTTAGATATAAGACACTCTCATTTTATTCTCTATTTCTCTTCATCATTTCTCTTTTTATTTGTATTTCCTTTGTACTATATTCTGTGCAGTTTCTTTACATTTACATTCCAATGTCCTGATTATTTCATTGACTATGCTTTGTTTACTGTTAACCTATCCATTGTTTTAAACCATATTTTTAATTTCTAAAAGTTACATTTAATTCTTTCTATATATGCTTGGATCATTTTTTATAGTCTCTCCTTCTTTTTCCTGATAGTCTGTTTTATGTTTTAATCATTTTATATTTGTCTCTTAATAATTTAAATATATGGGCCGGGCATGGTGGCTGACACCTGTAATCCCAGCACTTTGGGAGGCTGAGGTGGGCAGATCACTAGGTTAGGAGATTGAGACCACCCTGGCCAACATGGTGAAACCCTGTCTCTACTAAAATACACACACAAAAAAATTAGCGGGCTTGGTGGCATGCGCCTGTAGTACCAGCTATTCAGTAGGCTGCGGTAAGCAGGTGGAGGTTGCAGTGAGCTGAAATTCAGCCACTAAACTCCAGCCTGGTGACAGAGACTCCGTCTTCAAAAAAAAAAAAAAAGAGAGGCCAGGCGAGGTGGCTCACGACTACAATTCCAACACTCTGGGAGGCCAAGGAAGGTGGATCATGAGGTCAGGGTATCGAGACCATCCTGGCTAACACGATGAAACTCCATTTATAATAAAATACAAAAATTAGCCGGGTGTGGTGTCGCATGCCTATAATTTCAGATACTCGGGAGGCTGAGGCAGGAGAATCCTTTGAACCAGGGAGTCAGAAGTTGCAGTGAGCCGAGATCATGCCACTGCACTCCAGCCTGGTGACAGAGGGAGATTCCATCTGAAGAAGAAGAAAGAAGAAAGAAGAAAGGAGAAGGAGAAGGAGAAGGAGGAAGAACAAGAAGAAGAAAGGAGAAGGAGAAGGAGGAAGAACAAGAAGAAGAAAGAAGAAGAAGAAGGGGAAGAAGAAGAAGAAGAAGGAGAAGGAAGAAGGAGAAGAAGAAGGAAGGAAGGGAGAAGAAGAAGAAGAGGAAGAAGGAAGAAGAAAGAAGAAGAAGGAAGAAGAAGAAGAAGGAAGAAGAAGAAGAAAGAAGAAGAAGAAGAGAAGAAAAGAAGGAAGGAAGGAACAAGGAAGGAAGGAAGAAGGAAGAAGAAGAAAATTCAAATATATGAAGCACTAGAGGCCTAAATTCCTATTGATTGTATTAGCAAATGCTCATTTAATGGGTCAATTTCCTCTATGAGATCTTTGGTTTTGATTCATGTATGAGTGATCTAAATTTAATGGAATTCTGGGGTGAAAGTTGAGGATGCCTTCTTCCAAAAAGAATTTACTTTTTGCTTGTGTTTTGAAACAGGGCTCGTTACCCATTAAAAACTACTGTAATCTTGATGCAGCCTTCTGTACCTGGATTTCAGCTCTCTTATCTCCTGCTACTTAAAATATGAACCTCAAGATCAAAGTGCTGATAAAGGCACTGGCCAGCTTTATCATTTACAGGTATTGATCGACTTATGACCTGTGCAACTTACGACCATTCGACTTTACGACCACAATCGCTAGCCACGACTGCTCCGCGTCTGGCAGCGCAAAGGTTGCCCAGTTGGGCGTACGACAGTGCTGACCAGCTTCTGGCAGCACTACCATCTCCACGTGCACCATTTCAACTGTACATATAGCCTACTCAACTTACGACCAAATCGTGTTACGACCGCTCTGCCAGTCCCAATCGTGGTCATAAGTTGAGCACTAGCTGTACTTTCAAATTTGAGTTGCAATTTCTCTCTCTCTCTTTTTTTAAAAAATTTCTCCTGACCATAAAATATCAATTCTATAGATCGAATGGTATGCATTAATCCATAATATTGTATCTAGAACCTCTTTATTTGTATCAGTACAGCCCTTCAGAGCTGCTGATCTGATTACCATCAAAGCAAAATTCTCAGACTTTTTGATTAACTCGATATATGCTGTTGATAGTACTACAACCTGCTGTTTGGAGATCACTGGTGCACACAATTAATGCACTTAAGAACATTTTAGAGTAAAAGTTATGTATTTTGATTACAAATTTTAAAGAATTATCCCTCACTTTTCTTAACTTTTTATCTGATGAACATCATCATTTTTTTCTGAGTTTCCATTTGAAATTTTTAAAGACTTTTAAAAAATATTGATATATAAAATTTAAGATGTTTCAGTGCATGTTCCAGATGATTTGTTTTCATTGCTACCTAAACATTTTCTCCATGTAGACAAAAAATTTAGTTCTCATTAACTTAGTAAAATGAGAACCCCAATTCAAGAGCTACATTTATAGGGACAATAAATCATTGACATTAGAACTCTACTGAAATTTCATGTAAACTAAATGAAATGTATCATATGAATAGTAGTACTGCTAGTATAACTCTTGTTGATTTAGATTAGTCCACAAAATTGAATCATGACTTGTATCATATAATGTTTCATACATAATCCATCACAATAGTGTTAGAAAAATTAAGCCGTTAGACACTCACAAAATATAGTTTATACTGAAAAATCTGTCCCTTTACAAAAGGCAAATACAAAGTTTATATAAAAAATAGAAATACTTGAACCTAAATCTAATTGGGGGAATTGGAACATTTTAGGAATCTATAACTATCATTTTGCATCTTGAACTCTACAGCAAAGACTTAGAATTTTCCATCAAATCCTCAAACATATTTTCTAGTATGTATCCAACAATTCATTGAAGCAGTGATCTTATACATCCTGCACATCACAGTCAGATGACTGGCTTGCTCAAAATAGAAATTCTTGGAACCCATCATAGGCCTACAAAATTAGAATCCTTGGAAAACTGTGTATTTTTAATTTTTAAGACTTTAAGATAATTCCAGAACAAACAATTCAAAAACAGTAGACTAGATAATCTCTGACTTAATTCCTATACTCAAATTATGTGAAATATATTGAATCTTACATTAACCAACAAATGGACACACAGTTATTTAGTAAAATTAAAATGGAAATCTAATTACTGAAAGGATTTGAGGGTTTCTCATCTGGCCATTTATAATGGTAAATGAATGATAAATCATAATTTTTTTCTGGCTAAGATGAATTTCTGTACTGTATTTATCCCCTAATTCCTGTAAGAATTCTTTTTTTAACTGCTATCTCTTTCTGTGTTCTAAAAACCTGTAACAGTCTCAGGTGATTGATTTAGTATACCGAATTTTTAAAAGATTTAATATATAAATATTTTATCTCACAACCATAATGTTCATTTTTTGGAGTTAGGCATATTGCCATATGGTACTATGTTTTCCCACAATTTCTGGAACAGTATTTAAAATGTGTACAAACACATTATTAATGTACAGTAGTTTTATATTATGGGTTATATGTACAATTACTTACAAATGTAATACTGCAATTATATTTAATATGATTCTTTTTTTAGCAGACAGCATGCTGCATTTACAAACAAAAACTATCACACTACTATTGGTCCAGTTTAGGAACTTGGGAATTCATTGGTTTGATTGATTGTGCACCACTGTACCAGAAATGCCTTCTGGGATCTCCTTTCTTTCCAAGTCACAGCTTATGGTCTTTTCCAGAAATCATAGCTATTCTCATTTATAGGGAAAATAAATGTATTATATTGTTCCCTAATTGTTTTGGAAAAAGAAAAGGTGCTTTTCTTGCCTTTACACAAAGGCATCTCCCTCACTCATCTGTCCATGTCTTAAAAATACATAATTAGGTTTTTAAATTAGCATTTTATGTACTAGTATCCCTAAGTATCCCCCCATGTGCATGTGTGTCTATACCCACAAACACACACAATTATAAATATATACATTTATATATGTGCAAATATATATTTGTATAGGTATAAATAAATATATAAATACAGCTATACAAATACATAATATCTAAATATAACAGGTATAATATATATACATAAATATATATATAAATATATATATAAATGTTTATACATACCAAAAAATAGAGACATCGACAGGTACAAGAGCATAGATGCCAGTAGAAAACGAAACAACTTTTAGTGTTTAACACATTTACTTGAATTGTGTTTTGAAATGATAAGGCTTTAGTTCCATATATATAAATTTAATAGGGAAGGAGACATGAGTAGTTAGAAAAGATTTGAATAGCTACATTTCAGAAGACCCGCAAATTTTGTTGTACAGACCAGTTGATGACTTCTAATCTAGATAATCCCTAAATTTTTCCAACTTTCAAAGTCAATAAAATAATTTGAGTTTACATTAATTAATAACTGCATATGCACTTATTTTTAAATGACATATAATCCTAAATTTCAAGAATTTTTGTCTTATTATTCGAAATGTCATCAAGCTAAAAATATTTCTATGAGATTATAGTAAAGTTCTCAACTTTACTGCCTGTTCTTCTATAAACTGTTTCCTTTTTTTTCAGTTTCAAATTTTATTTCATTAACTTAAAAGGTGGACAAAATGTTTATTTCAAATCTAATTGAAATTCATCTGAAACAAGTAACTTATTTCAAGTAACTTATTGTACAGTCCATTGTCAGTTTAAAAATATTCTTTCTTCCAAAAAAAAAAACTGCATTGAAAGACACAAAAATTGGTTTATACTGCCTAAAAGTGAGATGCAAACTTTTGATGTGAATTTGTTTCACTGTCAATTCCGATGATAAAGATGAGAGGCACAAGGGTTCACACTTTAGTTAAATGATGCGAACAAAAAGCTTGTTTTCCTCTGATACAAATTAGAAGCCACCATGTCTCTTACAGTAGTACCACATACTTGATGTTGATACTAGGTTACTTCTTTTTCTTTCCTTTCTCTTTTTTAATTCCCTCTCCTTGTTGAAGACTTTGGTCACCACTTCCTGTTTTTTGTGTCCTTGCTTTTAGTTTAGGTATCATTTCTGCTGCATCAACGTTACTGACTTACATCACGGGAACTGTACAAGTCAGAGGCTGCCATCTTCCTGTTTGAGCTGGATTCTGGACTCTGCCTCTGTATTGGACATCACGATTCCATTCTCTAGAGTACATTTTATTTTTCTCAAGAAATACTTTAAGTCCAGCTGCTGAACATACATCTTGAATCTCTGTAGCTGTAGAATTTTCAACAGCCTTACTTATGGGGATTCACCTTCCCTCTGCAATGGTCTTCTTATTGTTTAAATCAGCAGGATAGATACACATAAACCTGTCCTTGTTGGCTGGGGACCACGTGGCAGCGCAAGCCGTCTTCACAAGACTCCAAACTGCGACAGCCCAGGAGCTGCAGGCAGAAACCTGGGAGGAATGCATCTCTGGGTTTTTATATGAATTGTTTCTTAATTGCTATCACCATGTCTTCTGAACTTTAACAGTAACATTGGGGTTAGCACATCGTTTTAGTTTCATGTTTCCAGTTCTATCTCATTAAATAGAGAAAAGATCCTTGAGTTTAACCACTCTGGCATACACTAATGTTGATTATTAAAGCTCTAGTTAAAACTAAAACACTGTAAATAATAGAAGTTGCCCGGGTTAAGTACTAATCTATCTCAACCAGAATGTAAGCAAACTAGTTTACATTAACCAAAATGTAAAGAATCATTTTATCTTAAATTAGTAATGTATAAATTTAAAAGTGATGTTTATAATTTTAATAATATATAATAAATATACATTTGAAGATGAGTTTGTTCTTGAGAGATTTTGTGTCAAACATAGCTAAAAATAACATGAAATAACATGGGATTCTTTAATAGAGTTGGTTATTTTATGACCTGAAAAATTTACTAATCATTTTGCCTGATTTGGGAAATTTAGAATTCCATTTTGTTTTTTATAGTTGGTAAACATGTAGGTAGAGGCCAAAATAAAAACTTCAAGAACTTCACAAACTTATATGTGATATAATTTTAGAATATTACATTCAAAGAGTTTTGCCAAAAATTTCATCATTTAGTCTGTTGATCTATGAGAACCAAGATTTTTAAAACACTAAGGGTAATATAAACCTGTTTGTCTGTCCATGAACTCCCAATATGCATTGAATATTCATGTAAATAACTGGCTACCATTTTTAAAGAGATATTAAAATTTCACACATTCTCTAAACACTTATACAGAAGAATGCCTTACTTACAGTTACCCAAGCTCCTAATTTCCTCTTATAGAGTGAGTTCTCAGCTTTCATAATTTTATGAATGTAACTCTCCTCTAGGTAATAGGAAAGAGTGTATAGTGCCCATGTTCGCATAGCATGTTGTTATTTAAAAATTGGTTTAAGTGTTCATATAAAATAATTCATTTAACTGAAATTTATATTAAGAAAATGGCTCTTAGCTGTCCAAATTGTCCAGAAGTTTATGTATTTGTGTTTTAAAAATTGACACAAATTTTGCACTTAAAAATCTATCCTATCTTCAGAATACAAGAAGAAAATAAAAAATGATATTAAAATTTTTCATTTCTATATTGATATTTTAAAATAAGAAAATACAGATAGCTTTGGTTTCTTTAATAAATATATTAAAAGTTATAAATATACTAGCTAAGTATACAACAATACAGAAATGAAAATGTCTTTTTCTTAAAGATAATTCCAACTTAATTTATTTCTCTTTCATTGGGAACAGGTTTAAAAACTTCCCAGATAAATTGGCTGTTTGTTTTGGTTATTGAAATTTAATTGATAAATATATGTAACAAAATTTTAGAGTATAAGCATTCAGAAGTTTTATAATTCCAATTATTTGAAGCTTATGAATAGCTAAAAACTTAGTTTTTCTCTCTCTTGTATATTTTGTATAGAACAATTTTCCATAGACCAATAGTTTTAATTTTTTAATTGGGAACATTTAGAAATGTGGGTGTGCTATATTGTGTTGTAACTGGAGAATCAGTTAGAGAAATCATGGTCTGTTGCCAAGATTAATTCTGGCAAGCAACATTGGCATAATATATTAAAGCCCATGTCATAGAAACAGCACCTCAGAAATGGGAACTGGTGATTCAAGATTGGCAGAGTCCCCTAGTGCTTAATGTTAAGAACTAGCTTAAAGGCTGGTCATGATATTGGAGAAGGAATAATTCCTCCTTCCAACATGTTCTTAAAGTCCAAAAATATAGTGGAGATGGCAAAAAATTGTTGAAAAATTACAGCTCTAGAAAATTATGTCAAGAGATGAACTTGGAAGCCACCAATAAATAAAAGTCATAAATAATCACACAAATATTTTTGAAAGCTTTTGACAATTTCTGGATAACATATATTATTATACTCCCTAAGGATATTTGTCTTTATTTTTTATTCTTTTCAGTTATACTTTTACTCTCTTTAGGCTTGTTGATTCCTCATTAAAGATATGGATTCTTTTTTTTTCTTTAAGTTCTGGGATACATGTGCAGAATATGCAGGTTAGTTACACATGTATACATGTGCCATGGTGGTTTGCTGCACCTACCAACTCGTCATCTAGGTTTTAGGCCCTGCATGCATTAGGTATTTGACCTAATGCTCTCCCTCCTCTTGCCTACCTCGTCCCGATAGACCTGGGTGTGTGATGTTCCCCTCCCTGTGTCCATGTGTTCTCATTGTCCAACTCCCACTTGTGAGTGAGAAGATGCAGTGTTTGGTTTTCTGTTCCTGTATTAGTTTGCCGAGAATGATGGTTTTTCAGGTTCATCCAGTCACTGCAAAGGACATGAGCTCATTCTTTTTTATGGCTGCATAGTATTGATACGGATTCATTTTTAAAGGTAACACATTTCATAGGAAAATCTGTGAATAATTTCAGTTCAATTAACTAACTCATGCTCTTCCCATTTAAAAATTTTTGTTCTTATATCCATAAAGTGCTTGTTCTTAAATAATTCTCACTGCTTGACACTGCTTACAGTGATGGTACTATGCTAGAACCTCCATAATAAAGCCATTAGAGGTCATAAGTGCTATTCTATGTCTTTTTAGAATGAGACAATTGAAATTTAAATAATATATTATCATATATTGTTTATGGAAGACTTGCTGCATATTTTAATCAGTAGTATTACTAGTTCAGTATATCTGCTTTATTTCACAAATGAATACTTCAGGAGAGAGGAAAAGGTGAAGGAATGAATAAGTTCAGTGGGCAAATAAGTGGTAAGATGAATTTTCTGTGAAGAGACACATCATGCAAAGTTGTAGAGGCAAGGAAGCCTCCCAATGTCCAGTTCTGAAGATTTAAAACAGTTTGATTATTCTGTAATCATAGGATCTGAGCCACTGGATATGGGTGTGTGTGTGTGTGTGTGTGTGTGTGTCTGTGTGTGTGTGTGTGTCTGTGTTTGTAATATATCTGTAGTTTGTATGAACATATCTATAGCATAAAACTCTACAACTTAGCACTCTCACTCTCTAAAGCAAAAGAGCCATGTAGATCAGATCAATAGGTCCAGAAAATGTAGTTCCCTGAAGAGCTCTCTCAGCTTACTCCTAAAAAGGTGACTAAGCATTCCTTACCTGGAAGAAATATCATTTTCGTAAGGGAGAGGGGCGTCTTAAGGATAATATAAAATTAATAACAGTATTATAGGAAATTAGAGTTATTTAAGTAATGGAGTGGATTTCAATGTGTGTTTATATTAATATTATATTCTCTCTAACTCAAAGGAAAACAGTTTTTCTGAAATTTTTATTTTACTCCAGGGAAAATCAGAATATAAGAGCATACAATAAACTAATGTATTTTAACAATAGCTTCCACCTACATCTTATTATAGCCATTGATTACTGATTTCTGCAATGTTTTTCTGTTTGTACCTTTAATATCTTTTCTATATCTGGTTTTATACAGGCATTTTCTTGAAATATATATGTACATATTTTTTCTTTCTTATAAAATGGAAAGAAACAACTAATAGGAAGAAATGAAAGTTTCGTTTAAGTACTGGGCAACGATTTTTCTTTTCATAGACAAACCTAGATACCTGTGTTTGATTTGAAAGTGTTTTATAACCGTTATTTCAGTTTAAAATGTCATAAGTATGCCTGGTTAATAAGAAATATTTAATCAGCAAGCGGAAAGTGCTCAGAATTTTATTTAAAATTTATGCTTATGGCCTGGCATGACGACTTACACCTGTAATCCTAGGACTTTGGAAGATTGAGGCAGGAGGATCACTTGAGCCTAGGAGTTCAAGACCAGCCTGGGCAATATAGACCTCATCTCTACAAATTTTATTTTTTTTAATTGATTGGGTATAATGCATGCTGCCAGCTACTTGGGAGGCTGATGTGGGAGGATGGCTTGAGCCTAGAAGGTCCAGATTGCAATAAGCCTGGTTCACACCACTGCACTCCAGCCTGGATGACAGAGTGAGACACTGTGTCAGAAAAAACCCAAAATTAAACATAAAGAAATTATAAAACAGAAAAACCATAGTTTGTTAGATGTGAAACAGCTTTGAGGACATGGGAACTGAACTATCATTCTGAGAAATGCCCTCTTTCAATGAATGAATTGACACTATTCAGAATATCATCTTTTAAGGAGTAAAAGAGACTTTTTCTGAGAAAATATATAGAAGCAGGACATTTAGTAACAGTGTAAACTCTGATAATGGTGAAGTAGAAAATAGTATTAAGTAGAGAGGCAGTATAGCATCTGGTTAAAATTTGGACTGTAGAGTTATGTGTTTTGAGTTCAGGTTCTCTCTATTTATGTTTGAGCTTAAACATTTTATTTTGTCTGTTTTCACTTCCTATTACAGCATATTTTTCACAGGGTTATTGTGTTGTATATGTATTAATGTAGGTGAATATTCCACAAATATTAGTTGTTTTTATTATTATGTACTATTACTAAAGCAGCTATGAAAAATACTGTGAACAAAGAGATGCTGTCTTTCCTTTTTTTAAGCTATATTTGGAGGGAGAGAGGGAGACTAATGATGTGTCATTTCCTGGGAAATATGGTTAACAATGCTTTAATTTGAAAAGAATCAGTACTTAAATAGTGAAATTGAGTTTAAATATTAGCAAGTGTCCTTTACGGCCTCCAGCAGACAAACCATCAAACCAAGCTGCATCTGCAATGGACAGAAAAGGATAGTGGAATTTGCTCTCAGGTGGGCTTCTAAGAAACTGTTCAAAGAGGAGGGGCCTAAGGATGCTCAAGTATTATTAAGGAAAGTAAGGAAAACATAAGCTGAAGTAGGCACTTTGTTTTCTTAAATCAAGGACATAAACTGGATTCCTTTTATGTTTCATTCTGAAAAATTAGTAGCGTCTTCGTTGAGTATTACTTTGAAAAGTCTGAGACTGTGTATATTCT